TTTTTTGCGAACTTGAAATGGTGATGTAAAATGTGTTAATAGGACAAATATTTCCAAATTTTACCGTGGTTGCTTCAGCTCTGTTCGCGTTTTCTTCCTTGTCTGCTGTGTGCCAGATATCAGATATTTTTTCGGTCACTGTCGCAAATTGTAATCTACAATTTTCTCTGAAGACGATGCATTGGAAAAGCATTTGTAAACATTTAAGTGTTTTAAGTGAAGGAAATTCGCAAACGGAAATCAGTTTTTGCTCTTGTCGTTGCTACGGTTATATGTAGATATAAAATGGTGCTGAAAAATTTTTTGTGTTGAATTGTTTGTTCATTTACATTTCTACATCACATCGAAAAAAAGGCGTTCGTATATCAAGTGTAGAGGTAACAGCTGCATCTGCAGCCAACGAGTGAAACATAGTACCAGAGTACGAAGGTATTTGATGCAGCATTAAAAGAAACTACGGAGGGCAGGTAAAGTGTTTGAGTGTGCAATCATTGGCTTATGGGTAATGAGAAAATATTTATGCATGTATATACATACAGCGATCGAATAAATTATAGCTGCACCACATATTTCACAACTTATTTTCTTATTTAATTGTAGTTATTTTTCAAAATGTAGTTAATTGCAAGTCGAATTCTTACAAGGTGATAGCACATTCATACAAGGTGACAAAAACGAAAGCTAGGGAAATGTTCGGTTAGTTGTACAATGATTTTGTGGTGTGGAGCGAGAGTGAAGGGGTTCGGCACCTAAAACCGTACCCAAAAGAAAGAGCGCTGTCAAATCTTTAAGAAAAGTCATCCTTCCCCTTTGTACCGCGTGTCCAAATCTACAAATCACTAATACCCCTTTCAGACACGTCAAGTCTTCATTTCAAGTCTGCTCGTTCGAAGAAGGCGAAGGAGGTGGGACGAATGTACTTTTCCCCTCTCTGCCCACCTCCTTCAAAGCAAGACTTGACGTGTCTGAAAGGGGTCTAGGAAAAATGCACATGCGTTTCAAATAAATATTTAAAAATAAAATAAAAAGTTATTTTTAGCAAAAAAAACCGACTTCAACTCTCATTAAAAAAAAAAAAATATATAGCTTTATATATCTACATATTTCTCATGATCCACTGATCGGATCTTAACCAGATTAGTATGGGACCACCTCTGAGACACTACTAGGTCCAAAGTTATGCGGTAACATACATAAAAAAAATATTCGACGAACTGATAACCTCCTCCTTTTTTGGAAGTCGGTTAATAAAAATAATGAAAAATTTGGCATCTTCCGATTATTTTTTCCCCTTCTGTTCGTTTTCGTCTCAATAAAACATCAAAATGTGCACATGGTTTTTAAGACAGATTTCCTGAATTTGCGGTTAATATCCCGTCGGAAAAGGATATTTGGTCCCGTCGCGCCTGCAAAATTTATACAGACAGGGTCCCGGGGGTCTCGATTTCCTGCGCCCATCTTTAGTTCATTCTTTAACAAAAACAGTGTAAACCCAAATTTAGAACTTTGTGCAATAGGTATTTGCAAAAAATTTTACAAACTTAATTCTATTTCTTAGAGATATTTTGAGTGGGCAGTTTTTAGCTCATTCAATTCTAGTGTAATAAGAATTCATTCCCTGCGACACGACATTTCTTCGAAAATCATCGCTGATGATATCGCTATTTTTTCGAATTCTTATCCGTTCTCGGGAAGAACTGTTCCACCAAGACGTCACGTCTTTACAATACGTAAGCGATACAGCAATTAAGATCTATTTCGATAGGAATGACAGTAACTTGTGCGATAAAGATTGAAGTGTTAAACAGAAGAGTCTGTTGGTTAAATTTTTGATAAAACTTAATAGGAAATTTGGGGTACTCTGGGCACAGCCGCCGAGTTACTTACGCCATTTTCATCCTGCTTTCGGCTTAGTTTGTTAGCTAAAACGCGCTTATATTTTATGAAATTCCAACTAAACATTTTAAAAAGCAGTTCCAAAAATGTATGGTAAAAAGGCATTAACATATTAAATCGAATAAAGCATTTGTTTAAAATTTAAACGTAATTTTATTATTTGTTATTCGAATATGATTGTTTGCACGCTAACTGAAAAATATAAAAATTTATAGGCGGTATACACCGTGCGTCTGACTCGTTAGTCGGTTTGGATGTGTTTGTGAAAATAAATATGTGTTAGTTACACCGACCAGTGTTGCGGTTTTGATGGAAATTTTTTGAAGATACTTTATTTTTTCGCTCAGTGACGTATGTCGACGACATCGATATTATCGGTAAAAACAAGGGCTACGTCTGTTCTGCCTTCTCGGGATTGGATAGAGAAGCAAAGCGAATAGGTCTTGTGGTGAACGAGGATAAAACGAAGTATCTCCTGTCATCACACAGACAGTCGGAACATACGCGTCTTGGCACCTACATACGTCACTGTTGACAGTTACAAGTTTGAAAAAGTAGACGACGTCGTTTATTTGGGAACCAGCATTAACACCAATAATAATGTCAGCCATGAAATCCAACGGAGAATCACTCTTGCCAACAAATGCTACTTTGGGCTGAGTAGGCAATTGAGAAGTAAAGTCCTCTCTCGTCGTACAAAAAAAAAATTACTCTAAAAGTCATGCCTGTGCTGGTGTATGGCGCGGAGGCAAGGACAATGAAAGCATCTGATGAGGCAGCTCTTCGAGTTTTCGAGAGAAAGATTCTTCGAAAGATTTACGGACCTTTACGCGTTGGTGATGGCGAATATCGCAG